TCCACAAATGAATTTTCCATCCAAAATACATTGTGCATTGGCTCAATCAAGCACATCAACATACATGTTCTCAGCAAATAATTTTCCGATTCTTATGTCCTGCATACCTTGCCTTTTGTTTTGCCATCCTTGATTCCCCATCCCCCATCCTCTGCTATGTCCCATCCTCCTCCCCCATTGTCCCTGGCATCCATGGTTGTCCTCCATGCCTCCCCCCCACCCATTCAATTGTTCTGCCAATGAACTTAAAGTTGTAAAATTCTATTTCACCAGTTCAGTCTCATGTACTTAATTTATCTTCTGTTGTGGCTCAATCTACCCGATTAAATTCTGGAGTATAATAACTCCAGACTTGTCCTTATGATTAAGTTGGCCATTTTCTTAGTTGTTGAACTCTCTGTGTGTCTGTATTTAATTTTCTTAATATAGCACTCCCTTGAGAATTTCTTGGAGATCTGGTCTGGTGTTGGTAAATTCTTTCAGGTTCTGCGTATCTGAGAATGGTCTTGTTTTTTTCTTCCCATACGAAGCATAATCTTGCTGGATACAGTATTCTTGGTTGAAATTGCTTTTCTCTTAACACTTTGAATATATTTTCCTATTATTTCCGATGAGAGGTTCACTGTTAGCTTGATGGGATATCCTTTGAACATAACTTGTCGTTTCTCTCTTGCCAATCTTAGTATCTTGTCTTTGTCTGTGGTTTTGGTCAGTCTGGCTGTAATGTGTCTTTGAGAAGGGGGTTGATGTTATTTGGGATCCTTTGTATTTCTTCGGTCTGGATCTTTGAATGGCTCTCTAGGTTTGGAAAGTTTTCTTCTAGGATTTCATGGAATAGATTATCAATGCCCTTATTAGTCTCTTTGCCTTTTGGGATACCAGTTATCTGGATGTTTGGACGTTTGATGGTATCTAGAATTTCTTGAATATTCTCATTTTTTGGGGCAATTTTCTCTGTCTTCATGGTGGATTTTTCTAGGCCAGTGATTCTATCTTCTACGTCTGAGTTTCGATTTTCTGTATGGTCTAGTCTGCTTTTAATACTTTCAAGGGAGGTTTTGACTTCCTGTATTATATCCTTCATCTCTAACAGGTCCATTTGATTCTTTTTTATGTGTATATTTCCTCTTTTAGATCTTGCAAGAATTTCCTCACCTCCTGGAACTTGTCAGCTCCTTTCTCCTGCCTCTTCTGCAGTTCATTGTCTCTCTTCTCTTCCATTTCTGTTAGCTTTGTCATTATGAATATTCTAAATTCTTGATCAGACATTCCCATGAGTTTTATTATACTGTCTGAGGATGAAGAGGAATTATTATTTTCCCTTGGAGGAGAGGAATTTTCTTGTTTTCCCATATTTCTTGTGACCCTGTGGTGATTTCTAGTCATCTGATGGATGGTACATTTCTTTCTAATTCTTGAAATTCAATCTGAGTATTCAGAGGCATGCAGAAGGAGGTGATCTGCAATCTCTCTTCCATTCCGTTTTCACTCTTTGTGCATCAGATTCAGTGGGCATAGAGGAATATTCTGACACTAATCATATTCAGATGTTTGGAAGCGGTTCACTTGGACCTGTCTAGACACTTAATGCATAGATGCCACTAGAAATGAGTCAGGAGTAAGAAGTCTCAGCAGAAAAATCTTCATTTTTGGTCAAGGAAATCAATATTTCACAGCTGAAGTTCAGTATCTTAGCATTTAGTTTATTGTGGCCCTTTAGTTTTCTTAACCTGGAAGACCTCCTTTGGATTTCTTTATTTTTCTTGACCTTGGCCTTTTTGAGGAAGACAGTTAGTTATTTTGAAGAATCTAAGTTAGTTTTAATTTGTTTTCATACTTCCTTATGGTTAGATTCAGACTATACGTTTTTGGCAAAAATACCCCAGAAGCAGTGCTGTGGCCTTCTTACTTCATCAGAAGGGGAACATGCTTTTATTGAGCATTTTTCATAGTCCTGTAATCATTATGGATACTTTTTTTTTATTTGCTAGAGGTTGTGTGCACTGGAGGGAGGGAGAGAGAAAGAGAGAGAGAGAGAAAGGGAAAGTGAGAAAGCACGTCCCTTGGAGATTGATCATGACACAACCTACTCTTCATTTCTCTTTTCGGGATTTTTAGGTCACACGTGTACACATACCCAGTGTGTTTTTCAAGTCACTGAGTCTAGGATTCACATTGTGCAGTTACCCATGTAGGATCTAGCTACCTTAACCACTGTGCCACTGGCTGGCCTGTTTTAGATACTTTTTAATTGCAGTGAAATACTCATAAAACATGGTTAGTAACCATTTTTAAGTGTATAATTCAGTAGTGTTAAGTGTATTCACACTGTTCTACAGTGAATCTTCAGGGTTCTTTTCATCTTGCAAAGCTGAAACTATACTCATGAAACAATAACTCCATTTTTGCCTGTCTCATATTCCTAGTATCTTACACTTTCTATGTCTATGAATTTGATTGTTACAAGTCCTTCAAATAAATAGACTCATATAATGTTTGTCTTTTTGTGACTAGTTATTTCACTTAGCTAAAGATCCTTCCATGTTGTAGCATATGTCAGAATTCCCTTCCTTTTCAGAACTGAATAATATTCCAAATGTGCCTGATGTTACCTTTTGTTGATTTCATTCATTTATCAGCTGAGTCCCTTGGGTTGCTTCCACTTTTTGGCTATTTTGAATAAGGCTGCTAGAAATATGAATGTACAAGTATCTCTTTGAGATTCTGCTCTCAATTCTTTTGTTTATATAGCCAGAGTAGAATTGCTATTAATTCTATTTTTAATTTTTTTAAGTTGCTTTATTTATTTCTTCCATGAGAGAGACAGACACACACATATGCACATGCACCACCCTAATAGGGTCTTCACTATTATCTGCCCTTAGCCTCAGGCAGCCAGGAACATGGGCACATACTCCTGTGCCTGGTGTGTACAGCAAGGCCTCAGGGTTTGAACTCAGGACCTTCCTGTATGGCTTCAGCATGATAAAGCGCAATGTTGCTGCTGTACTACTACAGCTAGCTATATTTTTTTAATGTTTTGACAAACCTCTATACAAAGTGGCTGTGTCTATCATTTTATATTCCCATGAACAGTGGCATAAGAGTTTTACATACTAGATATAATTTTTTATAATTTTCATTAAAGTTCCACAAAAATACTATGAAGTGAACACTATTACCATTTCCTATAAGGCAAACAAGATGAAGAAATAGGCTCAGAAATTAGGTGCCTTTTCAGGGCCATTTAGCTGGTAATTACTAATTAATTACTAATTAAGATTTGAGTGAGGATACTCTTTTTTTTTGGTGGTGAGGTTTTTGCTGTAGGATGTGTGCGCTTGCCAGAAAGAGAGACAGAAAGCGAAAACTCACCCCCTAGAGGGGATGGCCACACCGCAATCCCTTCTCCTTCATTCTCCTCTCAGGATCTTGGCACGCACATATGCGCGTGTGAGTTTAAGTCTGGGATTTGAACCGCGGTCTACTACATGGCAGTCCAGCGACATAGCTATTACACCAACTGCTGGTCTCGAGTGAGGGTACTCTTTTCACTGTTCCATCCAGTGTCTCAGTATCAGAAGAAATGATAATCATATGCCTAATGTCACAAGATTCCTAGAGGGCTCATGGAAAGTCCCTGCTGGCTTGAATATATGTGCTTTTTCCTACATGATCTTACATTTTTTTCTTGTCTGCTAGTTTGACTTTCTATCATTCTAAGACTGTGTCTTAGGAATAGTGTCCTGAGGAGTTGTCTGGTGCACTCATTAAAAGATACGGAGCTCAGAGCTATTCCCTCAGAGGCTTTGGGTTTGTTTATAAGCTGAGGCTTTAAGAATCTTCATTTTAAAGTAACACTTTAGGTGATTCTGTGTTCATGGTCCAGATAATGGTTTAAGGACATGTTGCATAGTGAATCTCTCTAATTCCTTCAGTAATTTCTTACAGGGGTTTCAGTGGTTTAAACTCCTTTCCCCCAGGTTATTTTTTTCTTATTTGGCAATTGGTATCTTACGAATTTACTTGTATTTGTTTTGGTTTATGATTTTAGTTGATTAATTTATTTCCATATCCAATTCAAAACAGTGAAGGTATTTTGATGAATTAACTAAAGAACACTTTTTCTGCTTTCTTCTGTCTTAAAGGTTTTGTTTTTTTTTTTTTTCCGAGAAGAGATTTTTGCTATAGGGCATGTGTGCTCACTGGAGAGACAGCAGAGAGAGAGAGAGAGAGAGAGAAATCACCCTCCCAGAGGAGATGGCTATGCTGCAATCCCTCCTCCTCCAGTCTCCTCTCAGGATTTCGGGAATGCATACATGCCCGGCATGAATTTCTAGCTGCCAGGTCTGGGACTAGAATGATGGTCAGCCATGTGGGAGTCCAGTGCCACAACCACTATATCACCTGCATGTCCCTCTTGTAGATTTTGATAGATTTATTTAGAGATTTTACTATTTTTTGTTCATCTCTTAGTTTAACCCAAGACACAACGTCTTTGCTAACCTGTTACGGTATTTGACAAGGTCATGTGTGTGTGCTCACTAGTTCCGTGAAGCTTCTTTGCTTTAATTTAACACTCTGGTCATCTGAGCCGTACCATTATACCTCTATTTATGGATGAAATATTTGACCTTTCTGAGGCACAAATAGTTAATTTCTGACCTTTTAGAATTTAGAACAAAACAAGGGAGCTGCATGAAAGCCAATTGTTCACTAGAGGCATCATAATAGAATCCTGTGGTAATTCCGTGTGATCTGGTAGACATGCTGAAAATCACATTTGGGTTACCTTGTATATGTATCACCTAGTTGTTGGTGCTGCTGAAGTTATATTAGTGCTGTTTCCTTTCTTTTTCAAATGTTGTTGTTTTGGGGGCTGGCAGGTGATGTGGTGATTAAAGGTGTTGGACTCCCACATAGCTGGCTGCGATTCAAGTCTCAGACCTGGCAGCTTGTTTCTCATTTTCCTTCTCTCTCTCTTTCTCTGATCAAATAAAAGAATAATAATAATAATAATAACAATAACAATAATGATACATACGTTTAAATAATTATTTTTATAAAGGTTATTGTTCTTTTCTCTTAAAATTTTCCTAAGGCTCAAATGAAGGTGAGATGGGATCAGCAGAGGATGTAGTTGTTACATTGCTGAACTCCCACATGGCCAACTGTCCTGGACTTGGAGGCTTTAAATTCATGTCGCGGGCATGTGTGTGCATGCCCATGTCGGGGGCATGTGTGTGCATGCCCATGTCGGGGGCATGTGTGTGCATGGCCAAAATCCTGAGAGAAGAATGAAGGAGAAGGGATAACAATGTGGCCATCCCCGCCCCCTCCCCCCGGGGGGGGGGTAATTGCTTGCTTTCTTCTCTTTGTCTCTCTCTGTCTTTTTGGTGAACACACATGCCCTATAGCAAAAATCTCTTAAAAAAAAAAAAAAGAACATGGGATATGTCATTTCTCCTCTGCGAACAGTGTCGTCATTATTGACTAAGGCCAAATACTGCTTGAATAAATAGTTACTGCTTAGGACTTGTGGGAGATATGAGTATCCCACATAAAGGTTAAGCTCTTTTCTGGATTTTGAGATTTGTAGGTCTGTTTGTGCTGGCAGAGTAATTTCTAGCCCTTATATTTGAAAAGTCAATCATTGAGCTTTATTAAGGTTTCTCTACATAGAGAGGATTTTACAGTGCAGCTTAGTCACATTTGCAGATTATCAGTAAATTTTAAGACTTGTTTTGACATCTCCTGATGTCTGTTTACATAATCCTTAGATGTAATCTAAACCCTCAGTAACATTGTGGAGTTTTCTTTCAGAATCAGAGACCTGGCCTCATTTCCTTATCATGCCCAATCCAGCCCAACCAACTGGAAATTATTCTCTATTCCGTGTTAGAGTCCAGTTAGAGGAGAGGGCACTGAACTAGAAGTAGCAGGCCTTCCTGGGTGGCCTCCCATTGGGTGGCGGCTTTAGGAAAGCCTTCCTTTCTTTGCTTCAGGTTTCCTGTAGGTAGTAAGCAGGTCGAATTGGAATGGTCTTTGAGCTCTTTCCAGCTTTGTAAGTCTATGATTCTTTTGGGACCAGCAGATGGTGTAATGGTTATATTGCTGGACTTCCATGTAGTCGACTGCAGTTCAAGTCCCAGACCTGGTGGCTTTAAACTCATGTGGCGCACATGTGCGTGCGTGCCCAAAATCCTGAGAGGAGAATAGAGGAGAAGGGATTGAGGCGTAGCCATTCCACCCCCACCCCCCCGAGGGGGTGATTTCTCGCTTTCTGTCTTTTTCTCTCTATCTGGCAAGCGCATGTCATACAGCATAAATCTCTAAATAAAAAATTGAAATAAAAATAAAAAGTCTATGATTTTTTTAATGTATCTTGCCATTCTGAAGTGTGTTTAAACTTTTTTTGAATTGTTATTTGTTTTTCTCTTAGGCTGATGTTTGGAGTATGGGCATACTCTTATATGTACTTATGTGTGGATTTCTACCATTTGATGATGATAATGTCATGTCATTGTACAAGAAGATTATGGTGAGTATTACAGAGCATAGAATTTCAGTGTAAAAGTTTTCTGTACTTTGTATTGTGTGGTTCCATTTATAAAAGTACAAAAGCAGGCAAAAAACAATCTGTGCTCTTAGAAGTGAAAATAGTAGTTTATTCTTTATGGTGGTTAAAAGGGGAATTATGGGAGGGCAGTTCTATCCTGTTTCTTTATCTGAGTATTGGTTATACTTGCATTTTCATATTTTAAAAACTTAGCAAAGTGTACCCTTATTTGTGTACAATACGTATATTGTTGTTCTTCAATAAAAGGCTGAACAAAACAAAAATAAATTGTTATGTATTTAAGTTACCCCTAAATTGAGGTAAGTAGACTTATAAGATGGTTTTTCTGATAAGAGTTTTATATCTCGAAATGATACCTTAGTAAGTCTTTGTGTTAAATCACATATTCCTATTGAGTTATAGTATTATAAGAAAAAGCTCATAGTTAAGAATATACTCAGCGTTGGGCCAGCTGCAGAGGCACAAGATGGAGGGTGCTGTTGTGGCATGACTAAGCTGCAAGTGAAGCCTGGGTCAGCTCCTGACCCAACCTCAGCAGGCCAAGTGCGGTGGAGTTCTTCCTGTGAGTGAGCAAGAGAGAGAGAGACAGCACTCCCCACAGGGTCTAGAGACAGCACTCCCCACAGGAGCCTTGGCTGCAGTCCACACCCTCCCTCTGTTCATGGGCACTCGTGTACCTGACATATGCAGGAAGGTCTCCACTTGAACTGGAACCTGCCGATGTGGAATTGCCTGGCAGAGGGTCTTGTTTACTACTACACCACTGTCTGGCCCCATGCTACTCTTCCTTTGTAAAGTGGAGCTGTGTTTCTTATTCTAAACAAATCATTTTTTAGTATTATAAGTTACTAGGATATCTTAGCCCACTCTTTTTTGGGGAACTCCATGCCAAAGGAAAAAAAAAACTGACAAGATTTCTCTGAAGTGAATTAGAATTGAATCTGCTGGTTGGGATGGCACAGAATCTTATTATACCTTCCAGAATTCTAGAAGACAACATGGGGACACATAATAGAATTTCACCGTTAGAAGGAAACTCGCAAATTATGTTTTCTTTTCCTTTTTTTTTTTTTTTTTTTTCTTTCAGTTTGCTACAGCATGTGTATGCTCACTGGGAAAAAAGAGAGAGAGGGAAAGTAAGAATTCACCCCTAGGGGATAGCCCTACTGCAGTCTCCTTTCCTCCATTCCCCTCTCGGGGTTTTGGGCAGACACACACATGTGCTTGGCATGATTTTCAGGCCGCCAAGTCAGGACTTAAACTGCACAATTGGCCGTGTACAATCCAGCTACCTTATCTCCATGCCATCTGCTGGCCCTGCAAATTGTGTTTTCTAACTCTTGCTTCTTGTTTCATATTTAAATCCCTTCTAAAACATCTCTTGTCTTGGCTATGTCCTTATGAACCTCTCTCTGATCAAGGGAAAGCTGAGCAGTGATAACTACCTATGAGAATCATTTGGAGTCACTTAGGAAAATACTAACTGCAACCCCCAAAACAATTAATCAGAGTCTGTTTTTTTTTTTTTTTTAATTTATTTTTTTAAATTTCTTTCATGAGAGAGAGCGAGAAAGAGAAGCACTGTCAGCAGGGTTTTACTCGGTGGTCTCCCTTCCCCACCCCTCCAAGTCAGCCAGATCATGGGTGCACAAGCCCAGCTTTTACAGGCTGACTTGGGAGCCAAACCCATCTCCCATGTGAATCCAGCCTTGCTTGAGCAGCATGTTACCACTGTGCCATTGAGTGAACCCTCACTGGTATTGTTAAAATACATGGTTTCAGGGTCTAGCAGGTGATATGGTGATTAAGGTGCTAGATTCTCATATGGCCAACTACACCTCAAAGCCCGGACCTGGTTTGAAGATCATACTGTGCCTTTGTACATGTATGCCCACAATCCTGAAGAGAGTGGAGGGGAAGGGATTGTGGCGTGGGGTCATTTCTCACTTTCCCTCTCTCTGTCTCTCTCTGGTAAATGCACATGCCTTGTGGCAAAAACCTAAAAAAAAAAAAAAAACCAAAAAAAACCCCAAAACCCCAAAAATACAGGATCTCCAGTCTCCTCTGTGAACTTTGGCAAATTATTTAGTCTCTCTGTTTTAGTTTCTTCATCTGTAAAAGGAATAGATTGATAGTACTTAAGAGCATAGGGTTGTTTTAAGAATTTAGTGAATTAATCTGTGGAAAGACTTTAGAGTAAAGATGCATGTTGAGTTATTATTATTAATATACATTTTAAAATTTGATTTGGCAATATTTTGTTCAGGAGGTTAATGTGTACCTTAACCACCATGTCACTGGCTAGCCGAAATCTTTTTCTTTTTTTCATGGTAGAGTACATGCACATGAGATAGTTGTGGGGGATACCCTCCATGGGATCTGGTCACTCTGCAGTCCTCATCCATCTAATTTACTGACAGAATTGATAAGGGAAGTAACTGAGCAATTAGAAGGTTGGAGCTGCCTTCAGCTAAGATGCAGAAGACTCCTGGTAGAGCAAGGTTGATCCGGAGTTCAGTTGTGGACATAAAGAATGCATCCATTTAGTTTAATGTTTTGAATTTGTTGGCATGAGGTATTTTACTCAGCCATAAAATCTATTCCCTGTGGGCAATTAATGTTATCAAGCTTATCAGATTTTTATGTATTTTTTTCAGAGATTAATCTATACATATATAAGAAGTAACATATTTTACCTCTTTGTTTTATCCCCTTCTCAGTATTTTTTTTTACACAGATGATGTAAATACTGTTCTGTATCTTCTTTTTTTTTAACATTTTGTTTATTCATTCATTTATTTCAGTTTGACCAGAGAGAGACACAGAGAGAGAGAGAAAGAGCGAGAGAGGGAAAGTGAGAAACCAAGCCACCAGGTCTGTTACTCAAACCATGGTCGGCCATGTGGGAGTGTCTAGCATCTTAACCACCATGCCACCTGCTGGTCCCCTGTATCTTATTTTCTAACTTAACATTATGTCTTTGAAAACATACCACTTCATACCCAGTTTGGAGTCTCTTTGCTCTCTCTCTCTCTCTTTCTCTTTTTTTAGCTACTAGGGCATATGTACTCACTGGGGAGACAAAGAGAAACAGAAAGAAGGAAAGCAAGAAATCACCCCTCAGGGGGGATGGCCAGTCTACAATGCCATCTCTTCCATTCTCCTTTTGTGATTTTATTTTTGTTTTGTTTTGTTTTGTTTTTTCTTTTTTTTTTTTGGAGAGGTTTTTGCTATAGGGCGCGTGCGCTCGCCAGGCAGACAGAGAGAGACAGAGAGACAGAAAGCGAGAAATCACCCCCCAGGGGGGATGGTCACACCACAATCCCTTCTCCTCCATTCTCCTCTTGGGATCTTGGGCACGCATGCACACAGAGTTTTAAGCCACCGGGTCCGGGACGCGAACTGTGGTCGACTAAATGGGAGTCCAGAGACATAGCCATTACGCTAACTGCTGATCTATCATTAACAGTAGTGTATATAAATTCTTATTTCAAATGGTCTTGCTAATTTTGAGTTTTATAGACAACTTGTTAAATCTGATTAGGTCTTAACTTTGTGTTTTGGTGATGGACTTGTACTAACAGTAGAAGTGTTAACTCCTTTATTGTAGACTGCTTGGCTTGTATTCATTGTCGTATCTTTAATCTTGTTTTAATTTTTGTTTGTTTGTTTGTTTGTTTGTTTGTTTTTGAGAAAGAGAAAGACAGGTGCCCTTTACAGGGACTTGCCACTCTGCAGTCCTTCTTCTAGCCTCCCAGCCAGCCAGGGAAACAGTTATACATAGGCATGCCTGTGTGTTCAGGTCACCCTGGGATTCAAATCCAGGCCTCACATACGGTTCCAGCAGTACCCTACTACCAGCCCATTGTGGCTGGGCCTGCAGTCTCATCTTTTTTATTTCTATAAGGTATATGTGCTACCAGAGAGAGAGGAAAGTGTGAAATCACACCCCCTCCCCATGGGGGAGGTGGCATGCTGCATTCCCTTCTCTGTTCTCCTCTTGCAGGATATCCCTTATGAGACAAATCACCCCAGGTTGAGAGCCAGTGCCTTATAATATTGAACATAACACTGAGGTACTTAATCTCCCTGGCCAAGAGATTAAGTTTCCTTATTTTTGTAATATGGTCAATGATTTGCCTACTGTACAAGATAAAATATACACACATATGTATGTATGTGTATTATACATTTTAAAGTATAACTGGGAATAGAACTGACATTCTTCTGTGAGCACTGAACCTTTTAACAATACTTGATCTCTTGATTATGAGTGTTTGGAGGCTACATGAAGATATTATACCATGAAGGATGCCTAGGATAATTTTACCCAGGTAAAATTTTGAATACTCACACGATGATACAGAAGTTTCGATTAAGATAACTGTCTGAATCGTGTCATTTCCGTGTATTCCTTAGATCACCCAGTAAAACAAAATGAGGTTCTATATGGATTTACTAACTATAAACTTTGATGTTAGAATAACTATGTATTTTCTTTATAGTAATAATTATACAAGCTATAATCTGATTTACAATGCTAAAATGATATATGTCACATGTAAAGAGAATGCCTGGCAGGAAGGTATGTGTTCGGCTCTTCCATGTAATATCCAGGGATTAGGGGCAAGTTAAACAGAAGGGGTAGGGAAATGGTAGGCATAGCTCTGTCTTATCCTATTGGAAAGTACTTGCTGATCTGTTAAGAAATCATTCCTATGGACCTTGACTCTTAGGTAAGTAGCACGATATACAGTCCTGTGCCGTGAATAGCTAGGAGTCTGTTGGAGCCTAACTTGTTTTTTTCTAGAGTGCTAAAGGCAAAGAAAGATTGCTTAAAACTACAGTCAGTCTTGCTAAGTGATAGAGCTGAGGTTGGCAAACTATGGCCTGTGGGCAGGATCTGGCCCTATCATCCATTTGTATCTTCTGGTCTATACTAGGTATTGTGCATCAGCTTT